GATGCAAAAATGTTCAGCAAAGTATTTGAACACTTCCACTTTCCCTGAACAATCCCACCTTCCCGCACTCTTTAAACCTTCCTCCACACATTTTTTTTTTTCCTACTGGGAAAAAGGAGAATAAAAAAGTCAATGAAAATGTTGGGTTTTTTTCCTCCTACTTTCTTTCACTTTTTTTAACTTTTTTTTTCCAGTGGGGAGGGTGGGGGGGGGGGAAACAAACAGAAAAAAAAACTTTATAAAAAAAAATAGGAAAAAGTGGATTTTTTCCTACCGAAATGAGAGGGATAATCTTGAAAAAATGGTCTCCAATATATTTTTTGAGAAAAAAAGATAAATTGTGAAAAAGTGAAAATACAATGGAAAATCTTTTGGTATACATACATATTATAGGTATCAATTTGGCTAACATGAACTAGAAAATTGGTCGATATAACCATTCAGGGTTTCTGAATCAAATCACACAACCACCATAGAAAATAACACATTCAATTATTGCCATAGGAAGGTGACTTTGTTTAGATTTTTGACTGAGTCCCACAGAATAGGGCTTCACTTGTGATAGTTGGTGATCAACTCCTGTGTTGCTAACACAACAGAGGAAAAATAATCCAAAGGCAGATCACAAGATAATTTGGTCAGATACTTATATGCCAGTTCACCAATGTCTCCTACACAACAGATCATTAGTAGTCAACCCTTGTTACCTATTTCCCAGTGAATTATATTAGCCCCAGGATCTGACGGACTTTCCTAACTATCCCACAAAACTCCAACATTTATGACAGACTAAGTGCACCTGGAACCTGAAAAGCAGTATGAAACCATAAATTACACACAAGTACAGTTCTACAATCTTAGAATATCAGGGTTAGAAGGGACCTCAGGAGGTGATCTAGTCCAACCCCCTGCTCAGAACAGGGCTAATCCCCAAACAGATTTTTGCCCTAAATCCCTCTCTTAAGGATTGAGCTCACAATCCTGGGTTTAGTAAACCAATGCTCAAACCACTGAGCTATCCCTCTTAGCTAACAAAAGTAACTTGTTCAGTTTTAAAGTTACTTTACAACAATCTTGACTGGCACCTGTTACAAAACAAAGACACACATGAAGTTTGTGACAATCTCCACAGTAGACACACAAGCACTTACATTTCCTTGCTAATTAGGTACTCAGTTTCAGGAACTAATCAATTCGCTGATATGGGTTATCACCTGAGAGGAAGTCTGTGTGTTGTTTATCATGAGATCTTGTTCATCCATCAGCTTTCAGCTCAGTTATCATTCAGAGCAGGAGCTGACACTGCAAAAACCGGTGGAGTGAAGGACAGACACAACTATAGTCTTTTCCCAGTGTGCTAATGGGCAACCCAAATTGCTGGAAAATAAAAAGAGACATTTGAAAGTTCCTATCCAAGATAAATATTGTAAGTGTCACCAGGAGGACTCAAAGGTGGCTGGCCGAGGACCTCAGTCTTCTCTCTTCCAGGTGTCTTCAGCTTTGAGAAAGCAATATGCTGAAGGAGATGGACCATTTTATCCAATTTCTGCTGGGTGATCCAACTTGGCTCCTCTTCTTGACGGTGCTGGCTTGGACAAATCAGATGGTGACCTATACTTCTGAAGATTCAAAAAGTCCAACCAAAAGGAGAGTTGTCCTCTCTCACCATCCCATCAGGGAATGAGACATCAGTTTTTGAGTTCTTGTAAGTTATGCTTGCTCAATTTTCAGTTTCTCCATCAACACTCCGCTAGCTGCTGAAATATCCAGTTTAAAGTTAATATAATTTATACAAAGTTCCTCCATATTCTTCACTGTTTTTAAACTTGTTTCGACAGTTCATTATACAATGCAGAGTCCCTTCAAGAACTGTTGTGCTCCAACAAGCCAGAACAGCTGAAGCGATTCTCCTTGTTTAAATTGCAATGGGTTGGACCTTGGTAGGGATGGCTTGCCAATTTTGGTTGGACATATTCCTGGAAGTTTCATCACATGACATAATCTTTAATTAAAGATTAATCTTTAATTCCTGAAGACTCCAGGACAATCCTGGAGGGTTGCCAACCCTGACTTGGCTGAGTTTGTGGATTATTAACCAAACAATTACATTTCTAATTATTTTACTCTATGGTCAATTGTCCATATAAACACACTATTTGGTTTCAATTCCTTTTATTTAGTACCCCGTTCAGCACAGGTGTATTCCACTAACTTGATAGCATAAGCATGCTTGACTGCAAACATTAGCCTTACTTCTTCACTTTATCACTTAACCTAAAAGAAATCAGTATGAATGCAACCCCTTTCTTTCCTAACAGGACTGTTCATAAGGAAAACCCTCTCTTGAAAGTTTGTATATTTTGCCCAAAGCTGTACCACTTACAATTGACTTCCCTTTCATATGCATTTGAATTATAATATTGGATTCCATCATGTTCCCTATTTTACTACTGTATCTGGAACATCATATAACATTAATGTTTGATATTAATTTATCAGGACTTTTAATTCATTTACTTTTTGACAGCCAGCGATAAAGGGGAAGTCGCTTTCATTACACCAGCGGTACGCTCTTGCAAAAGGCTGAAGCAACTCTGAGCTTCCTTTTGCAGAAATGTACCCATTAGATCTCGGATTTTTATTCTTTTAGCCCTCCATTCTATCTTTTCTACAAGGCTGGGTAATTCTTAAATAGTAATAACTGATCATTTCCGAGCCCCAGTTACTACACAATATAGCACTACAGTTGAGAATTTCAATGCACTAAACTCACACAGAGCAATATTTAAAAGGAGAGCTTCTGATTTGTCACTGTTTTCTGCCTCCTTGCGAGGGCTTCATCTAGAAGGGGTGAGCACGGAGTTCAGTGGGAACTACAGGTATACAGCTCTTATCAGGATCAGGCCCTTGCTGAAGCTGCTAATCTGCAGTCTTCCTTCGCCTCTCCTCTGATTGATTGTTTCTAAATCATGCAGGGACGCATGCAGTGGGAGGGAGGGTAGCAGCAGCAGCCTCGCTCTGTATTTGCATACAGAAATCAGGCACAGCAGCAATCCCATTATTTAAGGATGTGCTGACAAGTCATGCCAATGTAAGGAGGAAGGATGGGCACACATGATCTACTGTCCCAAAGTAAGATACAGCATGTGCAATTCCTTCAATAGTCCAGAAAATCTGGAGAGGGATTGTGGCTCCCAAGCACTTCCTGGATCTCCCTGAAGGGCAATGCCCCCCTGCTTCCAGGTGGGACTGTTTAAATCACACCATATGGCCTGATGTTATTTTATTAATTTTATTGGAGTTATAAGCTGGGATCCTGATCTGCTCCCACTGAGATCAATCACGAAACTCCTGTTGGCCCAGGACTGGGCCCCTAGCCCTTTTTTCAGCTGACATCACCATATCAGCCGACCAATAAACTTAAGATGCCCCTAAAGCATGCAGTGTGTAGCAGAGACACTACCCTTCTCCTTTCCCTTCCTAACCAGTGACAACAGGTGCCCGGGAATTTGCACTGAAAAGAACCCCTCAAACACAGAAACTGGCCCAACATTTTTCCAACCTGCAAAGAAGTTTGGTTTCACCTCAGAAACAGGCAGGAATCCAAATCAGCTCTTGTTTTGGGCCGGATCCTGGGAGTGGTTGCCTGAGCACCTCCAGATGGGCACAACTCACCCTGCACACTCCCACCAAAGTTAGGAATCACTCAGCATTTCTCAGGATCAAGCCCTTTCTCAGAGTCGCTTTACCTGTCCCTAAACAATCAAAAGATACTTGCCCCCCTCCTTCCTAGAGTTGCATGATGTGACTATCCTCAATTAAATTAGTGACAGGTTTCAGAGTAGCAGTCGTGTTAGTCTGTATCCACAAAAAGAACAGGAGTACTTGTGGCACCTTAGAGACTAACAAACTTATTTGAGCATAAGCTTTCGTGGGCTACAGCCCACTTCATCAGGTGCATAGAATGGAACATATAGTAAGAAGATATATATACATACAGAACATGAAAAGGTGGAAGTTGCCATATCGACTCTAAGAAGCTGATTAATTAAGATGAGCTATTATCAGCAGGAGAAAAAAAAACTTTTGTAGTGATAATGAAGATGGCCCATTCCAGACACTTGACAAGAAGGTACGAGGATACTTAACATGGGGAAATAAATTCAATTTGTGTAATGACCCAGCCACTCCCTTTGCCATGTACATTGGCCAAACCGGACAGTCTCTACGCAAAAGAATAAATGACCACTAATCTGACATCAGGAATCATAACATTCAAAAACCAGGAGAACACTTCAACCTCTCTGGTCACTCAGTAACAGATTTAAAGGTAGCAATTTTGCAAGAGAAAAGCTTCAAAAACAGACTCCAATGAGAAACTGCTGAACTAGAATTAATTTGCAAACTAGATACCATTAACTTGGGCTTGAATAGAGACAGGGAGCAGCTGGGTCATTACACAAATTGAATCCATTTCCCCATGTTAAGTATCCTCACACCTTCTTGTCAACTGTCCGGAATGGGCCATCTTGATGATCACTACAAAAGGTTTTTTGTCCTCCTGCTGATAATAGCGCATCTTAATTAATTAGCCTCTTCGAGTTGGTAGGGCAACTTCCACCTTTTCATGTTCTCTGTATGTAAAAATATCTCCTTACTATATGTTCCATTCTATGCACCTGATGAAGTGGGTTGTAGCCCATGAAAGCTTCTGCTCAAATAAATTTGTTAGTCTTTAAGGTACCACAAGTACTCCTGTTCTTTTTAATGAAATTTGTATACTCTAATTTTTGAGTACAGTATATTATTTCTGTGCTGATCTCTCTCATCTCTCACTTTCACTCCCATTGGTTTCATGTTCCCTTTTGCTGGGTGGAAAAGCTTTTAAACTGATCCATTTTAAATTTATCCTGGTTCCACCCCCTGGGACTTTCCTAACTTCCTTCTGTAAAGGGAGGAAAAACTGACACAAGCATAGTACGTGCACCTCTCCAAGCTTAGCAAAAGTGGTGCTCTGTCTGTCTCCCTGAACTGGGTTTCTATGTAGGCGGTGCATTCCATGGGAGGGAGGGTGCATGTGTGTGTAGGGGGGGGAGAGCCATCCCACACTCAAGTGAGCTCTTATTTAATGGGGGTCTCCATGCAGGACAGCAAGCAGAAGAGATTTTCCTCCTCCGAGATTCTATTCAGAGGGAGAGGTGCACAAGCCAGTCAAAGGCATGCCACACATTGCTGAAATATCCCTGGAGGAAGCAGTTCATATGACCAATCAAGAATCCGGAATGGGTGTCAGGGAGGATCTGAAGAAAATACGCTGTGCTGTGGTTTTTTGCTTGCTGTCTGTTCTAGTCCTGGCATTACCCACAGCCTATCTGCTGGTTGGAAATCTCAGAGCCCATAAATCTGGCCCGGCTCAGGTAAGAAAGTGCCATTTCTTGGTGATCTTAAGGAAAGGTTAAGAAAAAGAGAAGAGAGTTTCTTTAAATATTTGGGTTTGGAGAAAGAGTTTGTGGCTTCTTGCTTTATGGATTTGCAATTTTAAGGAAGAATGTTAAACAAACGTTCTGTTTCTTGCTTGCTTTTTCTTTCTTTCATGCACACAGTGAGGAAGGAGGAGGAAATGTTTTTTAATAGGCAGATTTTTCTCCATTTCTCTTCCTTGAGTTGAACAGGGTCAGAAGAGCAGGAACAATATTAAATCCTAACTGGCAGACTAAAGAAAACTCTAGGGTCCAGCTCCTCAGTTGGTGTAAATTGCTGGTCGTGCCATTGAATTCAGCTGGGGATCTGCCTGACCCTCTCCGGTCCCCCTTTTTCTGGTTCAAGCTGAGAGCTCTCTCGTCTCTCATTGCAGGCTGAAAGGACCCTATTTCACCAGCCACCTGTTAAATGTCATTCGTGTGTCCATCCGTCTATGTGTGGGTTGTGTTTGTGTCAAATACCCGTGTGTGTGTGTGTGTGTGTGTGTGTATCAGATGGGTCAGAACTACCCATTTCAGCTCCAGAGTCGCATGTGAATTCAGATTTCCCTGAGATTTGGGATGCTTACAGATGAGGGTCCAGTCTGGGCTCATTATTGAGAGTGACGCTAATCCCAACATTCAAATCCTCATCTAAATCCTGATCAAAAGTTTTCCAATGTTCAGGGGCATTGGATTCAGTTTAAGGTCTCTCTCTAATAAACAGCTGAACATCTATCTCCACATGCATACCTCTGTAGGTATATGTCTTTAAACCCTCTGCTGCTGGCATCCACAGCAGGTGCATATTCCCCCTGATGTCAATGGGATTACCCACCTGCTTAAAGGTAAGCAGATGTCTGATTGTTTGCAGGAGCCAGACCTTAATGAATTTCAGCTTTATGCTTGAAATTCACTCTTTGCTAATTTGTATGAACAAAGTTTTAATTGAATGAATACTATGAACAACAATGATCAAGAGGCACTAATATGCTGAATACGACCTTATTTCTATTCTGGCAAACTTTTTGCCACTAGGATTTCACACTTTTTGACATGCAGTTGTGTAGATATATGTACAAACACACACACAGTGAAATCAGAGCTAGGGGCTTATTTCTAATACATACAGTTCTTGGTCAAAGACTTTATAATCTCTCCAGGGTGTCAAACACAATATTAGTTCTAGACCCTCTTTACTTACTGTGTTTGCTGGTTGCTTAGATGAATGCTTAAGGCAGATTTCCTATTTATATCCACATCTGTACAATGTGTGTGAGTGCATGTTTGTATACGGAGAAGCAGTTTTATACTGCTTAAAAACACGCAACTCTTAAATCAGCAGTTCTCTTCCCGGCTTTCACTTTGACTCACTATGTGGCCTCGTGACTTTGGCGAGTCACTGAACCTCTCAATGCCTCTCACTGTCTGTTGTAGTGGTTTCTATAGTGCCCATTACTGTAATAATTACTTGGGTGTCGTGCCAAGTAATGTTGTGCTTACACTGAATTCTGAATGGGTGGACTTCTGTTTACTGCTGACTTTAGTTCCTATAATGTCCGCCTATCAGTGCAGGGACTGCATCCTTCTATATATTTGTACAGCACCTAGCACAATGGGGGTCCAGATCCTGGTCGGGGCCTCTACATGCTACCACAACTGAAATAATAAAATAATCTGTCAAATGAGATTAATACTTACCTGGCTCACAGGTGTGTTGTAAAGGTTAATGAAGTAATGCTGGTGAATGCCTCTGGGATCTTCAGATAGAAGGTGCTTTGTAAGCATTAAGGATTGCTTCATTCTGGACAATATTATTATATATTATATTTATACAAGTACATGAAAGGAAATTAATGCATGTCTCTTGATATTACTCTAAAAACTGGCTGTTATGATCAAATGAAAATCCCAGTAGGCAAAAGTAAAAAATCATCATAGCTGGAAACTTGTCATCTGTCTCTGCCAAGTGGAGTGGGCGGAACATACTTATCCTGCTAAATTATTTACTACACCCAATAAACCTTTCACTTGCTCCACTGAGAGCTGAGTCAGTCAGCAGTGACTAGCAGCCGTGAAATAGTTATGGGTGTGTTTGACTTGCCTTGAGAACTTTCTTCTCATGCCTCCAAAAACCAGTGCTCTGAACTGAATTTGGGCTCCTCGTATGTGCCTCGTCCTGTAGCCATTATTCATAGGAGCAGCTCCTTTCATTCCAATTGGAATGCTATCAGACAAAGTCTTTTCTTTTCTAAACAATTTAAAAAAAACAAAAACAGAAAAATCCCTTTTGATCTAATTAATTCCCATTGGTCTTTTAAAAAATTCAAATTGTGCTGGTTAAGGGCATCTTTTTGTCAGACCACTCTCCACCATAATTAGCCGTCCCAACTGAGAAGCAAAGGAGTGAAGGCTAAATGGTGGTTGGATCTCTTAGAAGGGAGCGAGAGCCCCTGCCTACCCCCAACCATTTACAGTTCTGCACAGGTTCCCTGGACCTTGGGTCTGGGCATGTAGGTGTGTTCCCACTGATTGCCCCTGAAAGCAGGTGAACAGGTAGGAATCAGCAGTGGCCACATAATTGCTTGCTGCCCTCTCCAGCAGATTGGTGATGAGGAGACCAGTGGAAAGGACAATGGGAAGAACCTACTCTCTGCTCCACAACAGTGCTGGGTTGCTCGGCGGAGCTGGCCTGAGGGCGTGCGTGCGTGCATTTTTTGCAATGTTATAAGCTAGCAGTAACTCTTTTCCCTCAGGAGCTAGAGGGAAGTGCGTGAGGGAGCTGTGCCACAAAGGAGTGTCTCTCCTAGGTCTTCTGCAGGGCTGGTGCAGATTACATGCCACCCCTCGCGCATGCATGTGCCTAAAGTCATATTCCAGCCCGAGACAAGCTTAGACTGTTGCCTGATCTTTAGAGGCAGCCCTTCTGGGATAGAGCACATGATAAGGACAACATGGGCAAACCGGAAATTCTGCTTTCTTCATTGTATTGCACCTGGTCTGTGTAGAACTATGGGGTTCACGCTCCAGAGCTTCCTGCCTGCCTTCCACCATCAACACCCACCCGCTTTTCAAAATAACAGATACTTCTTTTGTGCTCTAATTCTGAAACAACTGTACCGCTGTCCCTTAGCGGTGTGGTGGCTTCAACAACACATTTGTTTCCCTGGCCAAATTCCATTTCATTGAGTTTATTTAGAATAGAACTTGAGCACACAGTTCCTGCCCTAGAGCGGACTAGTGGAGTGACACGGCAGCTAGGAATGTGTAGGTTGCTGCCTTATCAGTCTTCTCAGTTAATCATCTGTAAATGGGTAGCAAAGTCTTAATTGCTGTTCTTTGCACTGAACTCCCACTGATGGCATTGAGATTTGGACAGGTGTGTCAAAGGCATCCTGAGGCAGGCAGAATCCAGTTTAGAGGGAAATTCACCCAAATGGAGAAGGGACAAGGGTCTGCAGCCCACTTTGAACTCAAGTGGCGACTGTGGGAGTGGGCTGCAGCAATGCAGATGGGCTTCCAAAGCCACCAGCTGTGGCCTGGATCTCTCCATGCCAGATCTGCACTGGCCAGCAGGGAGGCCAGTGATGAGGGTCAAAAGAGGAGCCGAAAGGAACCACATTTATGCAAAGCCAATGGCCTCAACATACCGTGCAAGTGGCCGAGGGAGGCTGAATCAGCTACTCAGTACCCCAGTACATAGGCTGGAGGAACGGCTGTGGGTGGGCTGAGGAGAAACCTCACATTCTGGCCCCAGGTGTGTGGTTTTCACCTCCCAAACTTTGCCTGCATTATCACCACTGCCCAACTGAATAGTAATGACTCCAGCTTTATGCAGGTATCATGCATTTCCCTTGGGGCCCGATCCAACTCCCATGAAAGTCAGTGAGTCTATTGATTGGCTCACATGGGAGTCGGATCAGGTCCTTACAGCACAGGTCAAGCTTCGGCAATATTCCATGCCTGGAAATGACACAAAATAAATTTGGTGCATATATTATATCAGGAAGAGGAAGTGGATGAGGCATTTCTAGAACAAATAAAAGAAATATCCAAAACAGGAGATCTGGTAGCAATAGGGGACTTTAACAACCCGACAACTATTGGAAAAGTAATACGGCAAAACACAAACTCTCCAGTAAGTTCTTGGCATGTATTGTGGACAGTTTTTATTCCGGACAGTGCAGGAAGTCACCAAGAGGACAGGTGTTTTAGACTTGATTCTGACTAACAGGGAGAAATTGGTAGCGAATCTGAAGATGGAAGGCAATTTGGGTGACAGTGACCATGAAGTGACAGATTTCATTATTCTAAGGAAAGGAAGGAGTGAGCGCAGCAGAATTAGGATAATGGACTTCAGAAAAAAACAGACTTTAACAAACTCAGAGAACTGATAGGGAAGGTCCCATGGGAAGACAATCTAGCAGAAAAAGAAGTTTAGGAGAGTTGTCAGTTTCTTAAGGAGACAATATTAAGGGCACAATTGCAAACGATTCCAATGTGAAGGAAAGATAGGAAGAATAGGAAGGGGCCAATATGGTTCTATCAGGAGCATTTTAATGACCCCCACATCAAAAATGAATCCTACAAAAAGTGGAAATATGGACAGTTGCTAAGAAGGCTTACCAAAGAATAGCCCAAGCATATAGGAACAAAATCAGAAAGGCTAAGGCACAAAATGAGTTACACCTAGCAAAGGACATAAAAGGCAATAAGAGGAGGTTCTTTGAACACATTAGAAGCAAGAGATACACAAAGGAACATGTAGGTCCTTTATTTAGAGGAGAAAGAGTGCTAATAACTGATGACATTGAGAAAGTTGAAAAGGTGTTCAATGCCCATTTTGCTTCAGTTTTCACTGAAAAGTTTAATGCTGACCAGATACTCAACAGAATTAATATTACCAGCAAGAGGGAAGGCATACAAAGCAAAATAGGGAAACAACAGGTTAAGAAAAT